AATCCTTTTAATGTACTGTTGGATCCTATTGGCTAGTATTTTGGTGAGAATTTTTGCATCCATGTTCATCAAGGATATTGGTCTGTAATTCTCCTTTTGGATGGGGTCTTTGTCTGGTTTTGGGATCAAGGTAATGGTGGCCTCATAAAATGAGTTTGGAAGTTTTCCTTCCATTTCCAATTTTTGGAACAGTTTCAGGAGAATAGGTATTAATTCTTTTTTAAATGTCTGATAGAATTCCCCTGGGAAGCCATCTGGCCCTGGGCTTTTGTTTGTTGGGAGATTTTTGATGACTGCTTCAATTTCCTTAGTGGTTATAGGTCTGTTCAGGTTTTCTATTTCTTCCTGGTTCAATTTTAGAGCCACAACTCTTAAGAGGAAGTCTCCCTGTTATCTGGCTGAGGAAATCGAGGCACAGAACGGCTAAGGTGCTCGCCTAAATCGCACAGCTACACATTGAGGTGCTAGGATTACAGTTCCAGAGCTGGGACGCTTAGCTGCCTTGCTTGCCTGCTCCTCACGCTGATCCTGGTCTGTGCCCTCACTGGGAGGTGCTGGGCGCCATGTTGCCCCATGGGCCGCCTGTGTTCCGTGTACCACACACAGCAGGCAGAGCCTGCTGATCAGCACTGCCTGGCTTACTTATGTAAGGTGAGATCTGCTGACTGAAGAAAACCAGGCGCCCACGAAGATATGCATCAAGTGTTCTTCTCCGAGCCATCGGTCCTCCATCCTGCCAAGGGTGCCGCTGCAAGAGGGGGTGACTGTCTCCTGGTGTCGGGGGCCTGTACCTGTACAGTCCTCTGCTCAGCATGGAGATCAGAGATGGCCAGGGAATGGGTCCTGGGGTCACCAGCGACACTAACCGGGCAATCACTAGGTGTCAGGCCTCTCCTGGGGTTTCGGGGGCAGGGGATATCACGGGTGGCTGCTTCCAGCTTGTCACCCCTTGCTCAACGAGGGAGCGAGGGAAGGGATGCCACCTTGCAGGGTGTGGGCTGGAGAATGAGCACCTGTGCCAGGTGAGAGGAGAACATTCCCATTTTCCCGACAGGGACATCTGAGGCTGGGAGAGGTTGTGATCTGGTGCAGGGTGACACAAGGGGAGAGTGACACGGGTGCAAGGACAGGACTGGGATTTGGGGCTTCCTGATGGCACATCCACACTCTTGCTCTCCCATCACCAAGCCAGGATTGGAAGCAGGGGGAGCTGAGGGTGTGGAAGGCCAGGGGAGGGGGGTAGCTGGCAAGGGGATGTCACCGGGTGTGGCTGGAGTGAGGACAGGGCCCTGATGAGGGGGAGGTGTCGCACGGCTGTGCTGCCCTTCGCTGGGCCCCATGAGTCCAGGCTGCCCTCTCTTCTACTCAGAGGTCTCTTATGTATTTGAAGACAGTTTTCCTGTAGCTTCCCCAGAATTGTCTCTTATGCAGGCTGAACGTCTCCCTCCTCCTTTTGTCCCTCTCATGACGACACAGTAAACCTTTGGGAAAGACAGCAGTGGTTCTCTACAACCCTTCCAGAATGTGCTGTCCAGGGGTGCCTCAGGCACCCGGGGCTGACTGCCCCACAGAGAGCTGAGGGCATTTGTCACCTGCCCACTCCATGATTCCTATTGGTGTGGCCAGGTCCCCATTCTCTTCCCAAGGGCCAGCCATCAGTTGAGGCCCTCCGTCTGGTTCCAGCTGCCATCCCCTGGAAACTGGACACGGACTGCTGGTTTTCCTGGATAGGTGCAGGCTTTGTCACTTGGCCTTGTTGCATTTGGCTTTGGCCTGCTAGAGATCCAGCTGTCCTCCTTCAATCCCTGCTCCCCTCCCCCTTTGCACGTGTGAACTGCTGCTTCTAGGAACCTCCGATCAGACCCTACTGAGAACGTGCAACAGTACAAGGGTTATCACATCAGTTTTTATCAGGAGCATTTATCTCAGAGGTTCATCTCTTCTCTCTGTTCCTAACAGCTCGGGCTGACTCTCAGGTCCTCAGGAAGGTGGGGGGGGCAGAGACCTCAGCAGGGGGGTGTGTGGGGTGGCACCTGGGACCCTTGGTGTGAGGCCTCCCAGCTGTCCCACGGGGCATTGCCAGGGGACAGAGAAGCTGACTGGATTGGGAAGGGGCCACTTTGCAGAGTTCTCACGTACCTGCAAAGCTTATCTCCTGATCCCTCATGGTATTCGCAGGTTTTGTTAAAACAGCAAGGGGCAGACCAGCTCCCCCCCAAAAAGACAAGACCTCCTCCCTCTGCCAGCATCTGTGGTGTGTTCTCCTGCCCCAGGCAGGTCAGGGAAGGGGTGGGGGGGTGGGTTGGGGAATGAACACCTGTGCCAGGCGGGAGGGAGAGGCCCTGGGGAGGGGGCCATGGCAGCTCATACCCCATCTCTCACTCTCCCCACTGTGTCCAACAGCAATGTTTCTCAAACTTTGGGAAGCATCGGAATCATATGGAGGGCGTGTTGAAACACAGTCTGGGCTCTGACCCCAGACATTAAGACTTGGTAGCTTCTGGGGTAGGCCTGAGAGTCTGCATTTTTACAAGCTCCCAGGGGTTGTTGCTGTTGGTCCTTGGGCCATGTTTTGAGGAGCAGCGTCCTGTAGGGGAAATCAGTGGTTCAGGAAGAGCTTTCCTGCTTCACTGTCCCAGAAAGGGCAGGGCCAAGCTCACCATCACCCTGTCATTTATTTACCCACCAAATATTTACTGAACGTTTACCCTGTGGCTTGAGCTCGGAGTACAGCAGGGAACGGGGCGGTTGTGGTTCCCTGCCTGAGGGCATGTACACTGTCTTGGGGCACAGATATTAAACACTTGAATCTCAAAACTTCCCTTAGAGGAAGGCTGAGCAGAAATCATTTCCCCTCTTTTTCAGGTGAGGAAATAGCATTGTGGAGAGGTCACATGACTTGCAGAATGGAAGTGGCAGAACCTGAGCTCAGGACATTACTCAAAATGGGGCTGTGGCACCATGGCGGTGAGTCATCTCTACTTTATGGGGTTGGGTTTAGGGCGCTGAGCTTTATGGGGTTGGGTTTAGGGGGCCGAGCTACAGGCCCCGGTGTCAGTATAGGGGGCCTCACCCTTGTGTATGGATGGAGAGCTTGACAGATAGACAGACACTTCCATTCCCACACCCACGACTCTCAGTTCCCAAGACCTACATAACTGCAGGGTTTCACAGTGACTCACTTCCCTTCCCTTCCTCCCTGTTCGCTAATTCCTCTACTTTCATTTCCCCTATTTGTTTTTCCTAGGCTCTGGCCTTTCCTCAGTGTGATATCTCCTCCAGGGTGGGATGCCTCCCCCAACCAAGATGGCAGCCTCATCTCCATGGCAATCCCCGGAGACTTTGCCTTGGAGACCCAGTTGCAAATTACGAAGCCCCTTTCCTGAAGCCTGGACCAGCAAGATCTCTGTTTGAGGATGGGGTCTGTGGGCCCCATGGCCGGGAACTCTCGGCTCACCCCACCTCTGCACACTCTAGCCGGGCACCGCAGCCAGCCCTGATCAGACTTGGTGAGAGGAGTTTTCCCCTGAGTCAACAGTCTTGCTTCTCTGTTCCTCTCATGCACCTTCCAGAAGGCGCTCAAGCTCTCCAGGGGCAAGATGGAACAGCTGGCCCTGACCCCCGCTGGATCAGCCAGGCTCATTTTTCTGATCTCCCATCCCAAAGATTGCTCTAGCCAAGGACCGTTGTAGAAACAAACAGATCTGTTCCCCCCAAAAGATCCTTTATATGTTTACAGATTTTAAAAGCATATCATTTATGGTAAATTTCAAGGATGTAAAAATAGTGGCCATGTTGATGAGAAGATATTTTATTGCAGTGGATGGAAAATACACAAAACCATAGCAATTTCCCCAGAAGTTCAGATGGTAGAGATTCTGTCCAGAGTGGCCACCAAGCACGGAGAGTGTGTGCAGGGATTATCTCATTTAGTTCTCCTGGCAACTCCCTGGCGAAGTTGCTCCTGCCACCCAGGTTTACAGAGAAGGAAACTGTCCAAGAACAGGCAGCGGGCAAAAGGCAGAGAGAGGATTTGGAGGCAGGACTCTGCTCCCAAAGTGTGTGCACCTTCACCCACACCGGCCTGCCTCTGATTCTGCCATTTGACCTACATCAGGAATAAGCCCCGAGGCAGAAATTTCAGGTCATCAAGAAAGTTATGCCTTCCGTGCAGAGCAGAAGCTGATCCATTAAAGAGTTACTCCGCTGCTCTTTTACTTTCCGTTCAAAATAAAATATAACACAACACTCAGATATTATCACTGTGCCTGAGTGGTTTTAGCCCTCTACCTGCAAGATGGCTCTGGGCAGATCTAGATACCCCGCTTTTTTTTTTTTTTTTTGAGATTAGACACAAAGGGGTAGAAGATTGCATTTTCTAAAGTTGCCTGCAACAGTATCTGCCATCCACGTAGTCTTCTTCCAGTGGAATCTTGACACCCCTTCCCTTGAGGAGGAGGGTCTACATCTCCCCCGCATGCAAACCTGGAAAGACTTTTGTGATTGCCTCGGCCAAAAGAGAATGGTAGAACTGTTGCTGTAGGACTTCAGAGGCCAGACAATAAGACTGTCATGCACTTCCTCCTGGCTTTCATGGCACGCTCACTCTTGGAACTCAGCTGCCGTCTTGTGAGGAAGCCTATATCGTTGTGTGCAGAAACCACATGGAGAGGCCAAGGAAGGTGTCCCAGCTGACAGCTGCATCATCTGCCAGGCACGAGCCAAGATACCTCCAGATGCTTCTAGCCCCCACCTGTCAGGTCACTCTCAACTTTGCATCTTCCCAGCAGAGGTCCCCAAAATCATGGAGCAGAGACAACTCTCCCTGCTTTGCCCTGCCCAAGTTCTGCACCGCAGGACCTGTGAGTATCATAAAGTGGATGTTTTACATCACGGGGTTTTGGGGTTGTGTGTTACGCAGCCGTGGTAACTGGAATAGAAGGTATTGGCTTACGCTCAGGTGTCTATCTCAAGGGGGATAGTCTTGTGGCCATTACTGCACCCTCTCTTGAAGCAGATGTGATTGGTAGGGATGGCGCCCCATCAGCCCCATGACTTCATTGGAGGCATATTGGGTGGACAAACCCTTCCTTGTTCTTTAGCTACAATAAATTAATATATTTTACTTGCTTCCTTGTTTATTACTTCCCATTGGCTAGAATGTTGTTGCCCTGTGGACGGGATATTTTTCCTGTTGTGTTTGTTACTGTATTCTCAGAGTCCAGACTAACACTTGGTACTTCGTAGTTGTACAATAAATAATTATTGAATGAATGAGTTAATGAAGATGAAACTTCAAGTGGGCACAATTTTTGGTAATGATTCCTCAGGAGAATTCTGTTAACTTTCCACAGGCCAGTTGTTATGATAATGTAACATTAATTTCTGGGCAATGTCTAGCTCACACTGTGGTGGGAATTTCTTAAGAATCGTAGTAGACAATAAGATAGAGAAGAGATGAGAAGAGAGAATAGTTAACGGAATTAAGAGTTAATAGTTAAGAATGGGTGAGAGTCCCAACATTTTCTCTAAATTAAAAAAATCATTAAATGTATATGAGTGGTGGGGGGCTTTGGATGTAAACTAAAGAGTTTGTTCAAGATGCTTCTGGACTTTCTCTAAAGGAATGTAGAATCAGTCAACAAATAAGAATCGATTCAAGCAAACTTTGTTGCCTGGCATGTTCTGGGTGTCATGGGGTCCACAAACAAGTGTAAGGTGGGGACACTGTCCTCGAGACAGCGTTGAGTCCAGCTGAAGCCTGTGAGGCAGCCAACCCAGGTAGGCAAGTGAGGCCCAGGGGTAAAACCGATCGGGTTTCAGCAGCTGAGGTTCCTGAGGATGAAGGAATATCAAAGAGGACTTCTTGGAGGAGGAAGGTCCAGGCAGGCAGGCAGCTTCCCCAGGCACTGACTTAGAGGAACACTGAAACCCCATAGGGGTTTATCAGAAATCTGCCTGTTAACTCGGGTTTCCACCTGTAGATTCTCACAGAGCTGGTGGAAAGGAAATTCATGTCCTTTTGTCAAAATACTCTTAAACAGGTAAGTAAGTACTTACATAGGTAATACCCTTAAATAGAAAGAAAACCTTCTCCTCCCTAGCATGGACACATGTCCTGGAGGGTAGGGGCTAGGGGGTAATCTTGTGATGTACATTGCAAGTTGCTGCGTCCACTGGCCTGTCTGGGGGGGGGCCCTGGAGTGGGCATTGCCGGTCATTCCAGATTCTGAAACCAGCTAATGCACAACAAAGGGCTGTTTACCAAGATCGTAGCTGCAAGCCTTTAAATGTCTCCTAAACAGAAAGAACCTACAGAGAGAACAACAATACAGAGAGATTTGTCTGCTCCTCTGCTGCTGGCGACGGAGGGGTGTGCGCTGGTTCTCTATGACATGCCCGAGAGGAGAACCAGGAGAGGAGAGACCATTCCAAAGAAACTAGGGTTCTGTTTGCTGCATGAAATACGACTCCATTTTTATTTGTGGGGAAACAATTTTCTTCCCATCCTAAGTTGACATTAAACAAATACTGGAAGATGATTAATTTGAAGCCTGCCCAGTGTTTCTGGTCCGCACTGCAGACAGGACGGTCTCTGCCAGGTCACATTGTCCTGTTGGTAAGCCTAAGAAAACATGGTGGATAACTTCAGAAGCTCCCAGAGGCCATGATTGGTGCTGTGGCCAGGGTGAGCACACCTGGAGGAGTGACTGTCAGTGCATGTCCTGGAAGGGCCCAGGAAGGCACCAGCATTTGCCTGGCCCTCATACCGTGGGCTTTGCGCTGAGTTCTGCTTCTAGCTGTGGCATCCCCTGGAAAGAAGGTTGCCCAGCAGCCATATCTGGATTCTAGAGCTGGCTGTGACCTCAGACTCAGAGCCTCACTCTCAACTGAGGCACGGGCATCATAATCCCTTTCCTGCCCCCTGGAGGCCTGTCATGAGGGCCAGGGGCATGAGCTGTTGTAGGCATCCTCTACAGCAGAGACTCAGCTTCCCAGAGGCATCACCCTGGAGGAATCCCCAGAGCAGCATCCCCAGCTTAGATCCAGAGGGGCTCGCCCTGCCCCTGCATAGAGCCCCCCCACCCAGTATAGACCAGTGGGGCTCACCCTGGCCTTGCACAGAGGCCCCCCAGTGTAGATCCAGAGGGGCTCACCTGGCCTTGCACAGAGCCCCCCAGTATAGACCATTGGGGCTCACCCTGGCCATTGCACAGAGCCCCCCAGTGTAGATCCAGAGGGACTCGCTCTGGCCCCTGCACAGAGCCCCCCAGTGTAGATCCAGAGGGGCTCGCCCTGGCCCCTGCACAGGAGCCCCCCCTCTCAGTGTAGACCAGTGGGGCTCACTACAGCCACTGCACAGAAGCCCCCCAGTATAGAGTCAGTGGGGCTCACCCCGGCCACTGCACACTGGGTACAGGGGAGAGGTGTCTGTCCCCTCCCGCCACCCCAATGCTCATGTTGTCCCTCCTCCTTTTGCTTACCCCATCCAGGCTCTGGGGACAGGGTGAAGGTGCTCCTGTCCTGTCCCGCCGAGATCTCATTGGCCACGTGTAGCAGAAGGTGGCTCGGAGGCCCAGGAAGGTGGTCAAGGAAGTGATGCCCAGCTCCAGGATGGAGGAGAGCAGCAGCAGGACCAGGAGACTCTTCTGGGGCACCTGGGAAACCGGCAGCAGGAGGGCCCTCAGTCTGCACCCCTGGGAGTCAGACCAGGAAAGCACGCACTCGGCACTGGGCTGAAGACTGGTATGGGGATGGGTAAAGGAAGAGAAGCTTCCAAGGAGGGGGCAGTCATCAGCCATCGACTGAGCACCTGCTACGTGTTCATTTAAACCCCAATCACTTTCTGAGGTGGATGCTATTTTTAGCCCCATTTCACAGAGGATGAAAGAGGGGTTCAGAAAAACAGAGCCACACGCTTGTTAGGAAGAGCATCAGGTACCGTAAGTGACGAATCTCTAAATTCTACTCCTGAAACCAATATTATAGTATATGTTAACCAACTAGAATTTAAATATGAATTTGAAAGAAAAAAAATAAAGTGATTAAAAAGTCAAAAAAAAAAAAGAAGGAAGGAAAGAAAAGAAAGAAGAAAGGGGTGCCTGGTAGCTCAGTTGTTAAGCATCTGCCTTCGGCTTAGGTCATGATCCCGGGGTCCTGGGATCGAGCCCAGCGTTGGGCTCCCTGCTCGGCGGGAAGCCTGCTTCTCCCTCTCTCTCTCCCCCTGCTTGTGTTCCCGCTCTTTCTGTGTCTCTCTCTGTCAAATAAATAGATAAAATCTTAAAAAAAAAAAAAAAAGAAGAAAAAGAAAGAGAAAAACAAAGCCACCCAGCTGGTAAGTTGAAGCTGTCCAGTTCCAAATCCCACGTGATCAGCCACTCAGAACTCCCACAGCAAAAAGGGTAGTGTCCCCAGTGTATTTGGCATTAGATCCCTGGTGACCTCCATACCAGAGCTGGGGAGCGGATGGGAGGTGAGGTGGTGTAGACAGTGAGAGATTCTTGGCTGTGGAAGGGGAGAGAGGGAGGAGCCCAGTTAGAGCTGTGGGGTCTCGGAACTTAGGAAGACAGGAAGGACGGAGGAGAGAGGGAAGGCGGATGCAGTACACAAGGGTCTGGGGCAGGGGGTAGGAGGAATAATTTGTGCTTTCCTGGCAAGGAAAGCGTGGATGCGGCCATGTGAAGATTCCGGTACACGTGAGGTCACAGGCAGGATGGGGAGTCTTGGGACTGCGGGGGAAGGTCTGGGGTTATGGGCAGTAGGGTCAGGACAGGGCAGCAGCGGATGGCGTGTTTCTGCCTCCCGCACCCACGTGGTGTGTTGGACCCCACTGTGAAGAGCGGCCTGGTCCTGCCCGGTCCTTTCCTAGGACATAAGCAGACAGGACTGCAACCAGTGTTCCCACCCTCTGTTCTTGCCACGTGGGGGGCCATGGTGGTGACCGCACGATGTATCTGTGGGTCAACCTGCTGATCTGCCCTGGACCCCAATCAGGAGAAGGCGACACACACTGGTGAAGCCCAGTTACCTGGGTAAAGCCCAGAGCGGACAGATCTGGGTCAAGTTCTGCCTCCCGCACTCTGTAGGTATGTGAGCTTGAGCTAATGGCTAAAGCATTCAATCCCATTCCCCAGTTCCAGCTTTGGTAACCAGTAACTCTGGGGAGTGGTTTCCAGGATTCCACGGTGCACAAAAGGGCAGGTGCCTGTTCTCTGGTCCCTCGACTGGCCCTGCCTGTTGGGGCGGAGGCACTCACCTGGGCGTACCTGCTGCCGGCAGTCAGCTCCACCACGAAGGTGCATATCCCGAGGCTGGAGCACAGCAAGCTGACCACGTTCATCCCTGTGCTGACCTTCATCTGCCCAGGAGATCAGAGCGTCAGTCACCACCTGGCCGGCAGGGGAGGGTGCTGGCCTCACGTGCCACATAGCACAGGCTTCCTTCATGGGCTTTTACTCTGGGGACAACTGTTGACCTGCCCTGGGGGGACTAGGAGCTGATTACTAGAGGTAAGAAAGACATTTCTGCTCTGACTGTGGAACCCCATGGGCCACAGATACCAAGAGCCACTGCTGGCCCTAGAGGACCGCTCGGTGCCCATGGCCCACATATGGCCCCTCTTTCCTATGAACGTGATGGGGATCTATTTGGAAATACGGTCTCTGCCAATGTAATCAGGTTAAAATGAGGTCATACTTGATGAGGGTGAGTCCTTAATCCAGTACGACTGGTGTCCTTATGGGAAAGGCGGACACACCAGGGAATACCCCCTGATGAAGGAGGCAGAGGGGAAGTGCTGTGCCAAGCCAGGGGATGACAGGAAGTGCCAGCCCCCACTGGGAACTCAGGAGAGGCAAGGAAGGATTCTCCCCCAGAGCCTCAGAGAGAACGTGAGCCTGCCACCACCTTGGCATTTGGGGTGTCTGGCCTCCGGATTTGGCAGGCTATGAATTTCTGTTGTGTTTCAAGCCCCCCAGTGTGTGCTACCCCATTCTGGCAGCCCGAGGAAATGAGCGCACCATCCCAGTGCTCCAGACTCAAAATCATGGCTCTGGGGCTTCTCAGGGGACAAATCTCCTCCAAAGTTCTGACCCAGCGGGCCCAGCGTGGTTAATGCCAGATGGGTCTGCCTTCCACCTGTCCCATCAGGGCCAACGTGGTGGCTGGTGTGGAGGACTGGCACATTTCCCCTGACAGGCATCGGTGGGTAATCAGGTGTTCACAGAAGGCAGGCAACTTTGACGGCCACTCTCCCTGCCATCTTGTGGAAAGGCTCCCATGAGGATTCACCTGCCTAGGAGGTTTTCCAGGGTGAGTCGCACCCGGAGGTAGAGCAGGGGCTGAGAAACTCACCTTGGGAATCGTGCAGTTTGCCGTGCTGATCAGGGTGGCCGTGCCTGTAATGAAGAACTGCAGAGAGGCAGGAGGACTCGTGGCCCCCGAGAACCTGGGGTGGCCCCCCCTCCCAGCAAGACCCTTGTGCTGGAAAGTTCCCTGGGGAGTTTGCCATCTGTGAAGGACTTACCCTGAGGGTGGACATCTATGGCTCATCACAATGTGGCCAATTAACAGGGAGGGACAGGGTTATGGCAACAGAGAAGGGCACACGGTCTCCCGCCAGGCTCTGCAGAGCTTGGTAGGACAGAATTCTAGAAGGTGACCACTAAAGATTCCTAGGTACCTCATCCACTACTTCTCAAGCAATCGGAGCATACGAGTAGCCTAGGCACTTGTTAAAACGCAGACTGAGGGCGCCTGGGTGGCTCAGTTGGTTAAGCGACTGCCTTCGGCTCAGGTCATGATCCTGGAGTCCCGGGATCGAGTCCCGCATCGGGCTCCCTGCTCAGCAGGGAGTCTGCCTCTCCCTCTGACCGGTCTTCCCTCTCGTGCTCTCTCTCTACCATTCTCTCTCTCTCTCAATAAATAAATAAAAAAAAATCTTTAAAAAAAAAAACAAAAAAACCGATTCAGTTCGTCTGGGGTGGGGCCAAGACTCTGCATTTCTAACAGGCTCCCAGGAGATGCTGGCCTCTGGTCTGGACACCACACTTTCGGGAAGGACCAGTCTCTTAATATGAAGGTGAAGAGACTAGGGCAGCTTCCTCCCTTGTCTCAGCCTAAGTCATGGGGCTGGGAAGTGATAAATCTGGGTCTAGAAAGCAGGTGTCTGACTTGAAGTCATGGCGGGGGCGCTTTTCCAGAGCAGGGGCTCTATTTCTTGACTTGTGTGCCAGATGTGGGACCCCCACACCCCACCCCACGAATCTTGCCTTTCTTCTTGCTTGGGCTAAACCTGTTGGGGCAGGGGCCCTTTTCCACCACTCCCTTCCTCCCTCATCCCACGTGCAGTGAAGCAACTGCAGCCTCTGGCTGACCACCCTGCAGCCCAGCTACTGGCCTTGGGTCACCCAGCCCTGCATGGGTGTGTGAGGCGGGGTGAGTGAGAGCTTCCCCTGGAGCTCAGGACAGTTTCACATGCTGCGTCCTCACCCCCATTTCAGACTCAAACTCTTCCCCAAGGGCCCAGGGAGGGAGCAGAGTT